AATTGGCTCTACTCATAGTTATGGGACTTTAGATAACTTGTTTGGATTCCCATTGTAATGGGATTAACGATGCCTTTCTCAGGGGCTATAGTAAGGAACCAAGAGAAGGTGTGAGTAAAGGCCCTGGCTTGTCCCTGGTACACAGTGAGTAGCTGTATGTGGCAAAATTTGCTGTCATTCATTAGAGTGGGCATTCTCTGGTTGGTAAATGGAGGATTTTTCCTTGATAGGAGCCAATGAGCATGTACTCCACACTCTGCTTGACCCTGACCTTCAAGGGGACACCTATAAGGCAGAGGCTCCAAGCCTTCTTTTCTTCTCAATGGGCAGAATGCCCCTCCCAGCATGCATTTTACAGTTCAAGTTTCTAGCTACACAGAAGAAAAATGAAAGTAAGCAATGCAAAATTCACTTGCATTTATATTGAAACAATAATAAATTGAGAGAGAAAATAACAGACTACAGTCTTCAGGCTACAGTTTATTTGCCAAACAGCATGCCCTTGCACTGCAGCTTCCTAGGGTCATAACGGGGTGTGGGAGGGGTAAACAGGTACCTGGGGGCGCTCTTCTCAGTGGGTTTCTGTGAGCTCCATTTCCTCCTCTGCATACAAAGCATGCACAGTTTGGAGGCTCTGGCCCTGGCCCTGCTTATGGAATGCATCTCTGGCCAATGCTGAGTCCTAGGAAGAAGCGCTAAGCCCTCCGAGTGGCCTGGGACTCGTGTTCATCCAGGACCTTTGCTGGTGACTCAGCTGCTGGGCCAAAGGGTCAAGCCAGCTAGGCCCTTTGAGACTGGCAGACAAGCATGGCTTGACCTGCCAAGGCAGCTGCCATAGGCCACTGGGGTAGGAATCCAACCTCACCCGGCCCCTTGGGCACCCCGCCCCAGCCAGCAGGACTGACTGTTCTCCCCTCTGTGTCTTCTTTGTTCCTGCAGCTACTAAAGCACTCATGACAGTTTTAAATATACCTCTCCCCATTCCAGGGCAATTTTCTTTTTGTTTTGATTGTTAGAGATTTTATGCAATCTCAAATTCTTTGTTGAAGTGGCCCTGGGGCTTATAACATTTTTCTGTCCTTGAGATTAGAGTTGAAAATATAAATTAGTGGCTAAGAACCTCAACAGGTACTTCTCTTTAGATAGAAAGGGTTGTGGAAAATTAAGTTTACCCAGAACCCCCACTATGAAAATGGCCCATAAAATCATACTTTTGTCTTTTTTTTTTTGGCACTTTTTTTTCTTTTTGGTACTAAGAATCGAACCCAGAACCTTGCACTTGCCAGACAGGTGCTGTGCTGCTGAGCTATATCCCTGGCTCTGTCTATTCTATAGTCAGCCAATCATTCAACAAACTCTTAAATCTTACTTTTGTATTACTATGCAAGGCCTTGGGTCTAGTTAGATAAAAATGGCATAAACCATAGAGGCCACCACAATGTGGCTTTGTAGTGCGTATTTTGCTAACACATTGAAACCATGTAAGAAGTCAACTCACAGGAGTCCTTTCTGGACATAAGTCAGCTTTGAGACCATCTCTATTTTTAAAAACATTTTGTCAAGCTTTTAGCAATGACTGAAAAAGCACATTCAATGTTTACAACCTACACACTCACTAAGCATCTACGTAAGTTACGACGCCTAGAATGGTGTGGAGGGAGCCTAAAAGAGAAACACGCAAGGCTGGCCAGATAGCTCAGTGGACTAAAGTGCCTGCTTAAGCAGATGTAGGGACTAGGGTTCAATCCCCAGAGTGCCATGCTGGCCCCACCCCCGGGGTGCACTGAGACACCAGTTGAGACTGGGCATGGTGGAGCGCGCCTGTAATCCCAGTGCTTGGGAGGCTGAAAAGAGGAAGATCACTACAAGTCCAATCTGTGTAGGGAGACCCTGTAGACCTTGTACTAAATACTTTAAAAAGACAGACAGACAGACAGACAGACAGACAGACAGACAGACAGACAGACAAATACACAAAATTCCTACCTTCTAGGAGCCTCACTGTAAATACTGGAAGCTACATGCACCCAGACAATCAGCCTGTTCTTTTGTTTCCGATGGAAAATGGAACTCAGGCATTTGCTACCTCCATCAAAGGGCTTCTGGGTCATGCTGTATGCTTAAGCTGTAGTCCAAGCTCCAGATCCTGGAGAAGAAGTCCAGTGTGTGTCCCTGCTTTTGAGCACTGCGGATGGAAAGGAGTGCAGGGTCCAATAGAATATTAGGCCACTGTGGCTCTGGGCCAAATGAATTCCTTGTACAAAGCATGTTCTGAGAATGGGCAGGACCCCAGAAGCTGTTGGGCTGCTGCGCATAGGTGGATTCTGAGCTGTTTTTGAGGACCAGAAGGGCCTCCGACATTCCAGGTCAGGGTGAAGGCAGAGGCCAAGTCACCAACATTAGGAATTTCCTACCAGAAACTCAGACCAGACCAGCAGGAAAACTTGCTCCGAACAAGCCACCCCGAGACAGCCCCAGAGGTGACATCTGCTGCTGACTCTGCACCTGGCACGAGGCTGTGCCTTCTAACCTGTGCTCTCCTCCACCCCCCAGATTCCCTGCAGCCCATTTAAGGATGGCATGACTGCTTTCACACTCAGCCTGAGGTCCTGCATTCCCTCTGCCATAAAGAGCCTGATGCTACAGAAGAAAGAAATTATCAGTAACACATCTGGCATGGCTGGGGGTAAGTAGTGCTAGATGCTTTTAAAAACTCCTGGTGGAGCTTGGAGGTGCATAAGAGTAATCATGGGAGGCTGAGGCAAGAGGATCTCAACTTTGAACCCAGCCTGGACAACTTAGCCAGACTCTATCCCAATAAAGAATAAAAAACAAACAAACAAAAAAAAGAGGGTGGCTGGGGATTAACTCAGTATGAAAGCCCTGAGTTTAATCCCTTGCCCTGGAAAAAACAAACAAACAAACAAACAAACAAAAACTAGAAATATCAGCTGTTTGGGGGCAGAAATTCTACATGGTGCAGAAAGCAAGAGCAGAATGCCATCAGCTCTGGTAACCTTGCCAGAATGATCTGAGATCTCTGGCCAGATTCCAGGCATGGATCTTCATTAGGAGATCTAGGGCCAACCACTCCTGCCTGCTTGGTCACCTCAGCTCCATACAGGGAAGTGCCCCTCAGTTCAGATAATGAGAAGGGTTTTCCTTCAAGGAAAAGCATGCCCAGGTTACGCTGCATTCTCCTCCGATTTTAATTCAGACTAAGGTTTCCCACTGTTGAGTGGCCTCATTCCACAGGTTGCACCCATCTCCCCACTGTCTCTCAGAGAACACTCAAGGGTCCTGGAGGAGAAAACACATCACATTTCTCATTGACCTAGGTCCCAGTCAAGCTTCACAATGTAAAAAAAAAACAAAAAACAAAAACAAAAACAAAACAAAATAAAAAAAAAACCCTAGTGTAAATACAAAAAGGAAAACCAAAAACACCCTTTAAAGTATTTGAACAAGACAATTTTTATTTAGTTTATTGACAGGCCTGGCCTCTGGTGCCATTTTTGGATTAATAGTTATCCACATAACAAAACACCTCAAAACTTAGTGGCTTAACACCATAATTCTCACAACTCTATACCAAGGCTGGGCTCAGTGGAGTGGTTCTTCTGTCCAGGTGGTGGCTGTCAGGCTGCAGTACCCAAAATGGTCCCTCCTGCACGTTTTGGTGCCACTGGGAAAACTGGATGTTTAGGCTTTACATTTCTTGCTCTTCTTTTAACTCTCTGTGAAGCTTCTCCAACAGTGGCCACCAAACTTCCTGTGTGGTAGCTCGGGACTCCAAGAGAGAACGTTCCAAGAAGACAAGCCTTAGTGTTCAAGTGTGTATCAGGACACTCACTGCCATCCTGTGGGCCAGAGCAAATCACATGGCCAAGGCCAGAGTTCACGGGCATGGGTTACAGTGGGGCTGGGCATGAGCACCAGGAAGCATAATTTATAGAGAAATCACTAAGGTAAGATTCTGTCCCAAGCCACAATACACAATCAGCAGCCAGCCCTAACCCCAGGTGACAAGGGTTTCCTGGGACCTCCAAGGGACAACAGAGCAGAGTAGCCTGGAACTTAGGCCCTGGGGTCAGACAGCCTGGGCGTGAGGCCAGGCTTTGCTCCTCCCTTAGCTGCAGAGGTGTGTGTAAACGGTGTGGTCTCTCAGTTCTCATCTCCAAAATGAAAGTAACCTCAGACTTTCTCCAGGGCTATCAGGAAGGCCTCCTGAGCAGAGGAAAGGGCTCCTTCTTGGCACCTGTTGCTGTGAACTGTTTCAGGATGAGAGCAGCTCACTTATCAAACTCCAGCTCGACATTGTCTCCTGCAGCTTTCAGTAAGATTAGGAGCCTTAAAGGGTGTTTTGTTTTCTTGTCATTAAGTTTCAAAACATTGATTTTTGAGGAAAATGCTCAGGAGAATCATTCCATTTCTCTCCGCAAAGAGAAAGTGTCATGAGCTTAAGTGGAAACCAATACTCCAGGGGTGTGTGAAGCTCACCAGACCTGTAAGGGAGGCCTCGTGGCCTCGTCCCTCTCCTGAAGGGGATGCAGAGGCCTCTACTCCATGGCCTGTTGCTGGAGAGGATTATGCAGGCTTTTCTATTCATCTCTAGTGGTGGAGACAAACAAAACCTAAACACAGTGCCCCTGAAGTATATTTAATTAAAAAGGAAACAAAGAAGCTTTGTGTATCTAATGCACAAATCCAATATTGTATCAAAAATCCAATTTATCCTCACAATAGGATCTAGAGGGAAGAAGTGGTGGATAGGAAAGGGGAGCCCTCAGGCCTGCTGCCTTCCCTACACCTCTCTCCTGATTGTTTTCAGAATCACGCTGGGCTTTCATGAGACACGAGGCAGCAACCTTGAGGTTCTGGCAGCTGGGCTGAGCAGGCATCCTCATTTGGGAAGTAGCATTGGTAGGCGCCTTTGGGTTTATGATAAATGAGTTCCCCGCCCTGCTGCTTACAGTAGGAGCTGATCCTGAATTTCCTCCAGCAAATGGTTTTGGTTAAACCTGTATCACTCCACAATCCCTGAGGACAAAGGGGCTGCGGCTGGTGATGGAGCCATTCCACCACCATGGAGGCCCCGTACCATGGCCAAGTAGGTACACAGCAGTGACAAAGTGGGAGGAACTCAGATTTAAATCCTGACTGAGCCTTACACCTGCAGTGTAACCCTGGGAAAATCACTTGCTCTCTCTGAACCTTAATTCTCTGATGATTAAATGTGCAAATTACTTAGCAAAGAGACCCTGGTACATAGAAGCACTCAATGAATATGAGCTATTGTGGGGTTTTTTGTTTTGTTTTGTTGTTGTTGTTTTTTGCAGAACCAGGGATTGAACTCAGGCCCTTGCACTTGCCAGGGAAGCGCTTATTCCCCTAAGCCATCTCCCCAGCCTAGCTACCAATATTATTGCTGTAAAGAAATAGCCTGATGTTGGTAGAGTCACAGTTAGGAGAATGGTTTCCAAGGTTATTCCTCCAGTAGAGCATCATTACATTTTTCTTTGGGATGGTCTCAGTCCGGTTTCTGTTACTAGAACAGAATATCTAATACTAGGTGATTTATAAAGGAGAAAAGTTTGTGTAGCTCCATACTTCTGGAGGCTGGGAGAGCAGAGAGCCTGGAGCTAGCATCTCCTCCTGCTGCTTCTACTCGGGACAGAAAGCAGAAGGGCAAGCAGGTACATGCCAAAGACAGCAAACAATAGGGCTGCACTTCCTGTACAGTGACCTGCTCTCATGGGAACTGAGCCAGTACTGTCAGAGCAAGAACTCACCCGGGAAGGAAGGCATTTGTCCATTCATGAGCACCTCGCACCCACTAGTCCCTCCCTCCCAACACTGCCACCCCGAGAACCCCAGTTCCAACACTCAATCATGCTGCCTTGATTTGAGAATATTGAGAAAAACACAGAGGAGAAAATTAAAATCACTTTGAGCTTTGGTACCTAGAGACAACCACGATTAACATGTAGATGCGTTTGCCTCTAGTTCTTTCTCAACAATTGCATACAAAGAAGAATGTGTCACACACAGTTTTGCTACCTATCTTTAGTCCTTTAACAATGCGTCCTAAACATGTTTAATGTAATCCTTACCTACTTCTTCTCTACCATAATTCCAAACGTCTTTACAGGATTCCATTGAATGAATATAAGCCCATCCCCTGCTTCCTGAGTACTGGTATGTTAAGTAATTCATATGCTTTAATTTGCTGAGACCTCTTTGAGATAGAAATGATTATACTCATCTTGCAGATGGAAAAAGTGAGGCTGAAGATGCACAGCCACTGCCCATGATCCGAGGTCAGATTGGTTGCCCTCCAAAACCAACGCACTTCCCATTCCTGGCTGGCAGCCTCCGAGGAGGTTCTGATGTTATAAGGGAAAGTCTTCCTCTCAGCTCTGCTAAGCCTGCTCAGCCAGAGAGAGACAAGGATTCTCTGTGCCTGTTCAGTCAACAGTCAATCTGCCCAGACAGAAACAGCAACAGCCTCTTTCCCAATAAGGATAACCAGGTGGCCAGTACCACAGATGAAAAGGATCTTGATCTCATCAGTCCTCGGTGCAATGCACACAGCAACCACAATACATACCACCCCATGGCTGCCCGAATGCTGGAATGGAAAAGACAGACACCCCAGTCACTAGCGCCACCCCACTGATGGGAGCATGAATGGTCCAGACACTTTGGAAACTGCTTGCCGTATCTACTAAGGCATATCCCCCTGCAGCTCCAGGTATATGCCACGCAGGGATACACATAGATGTACCCCAATGTGCATGGTCTGCAAAGTTCATGGCTGCACCTCTGGTAATAACCCCAAGCAGGACACTCCTCACGTGTCCATCCACAGTAGGTGTAGCTTAGTACTTGCAGTATGAACATACCACACATCAGAGAGAACGCACAACTGTTGTAAAATGTTTGAGGTATGCTTGCATCTCCCAAACACACTGTTAGGTAACAAGAGGGCTGTAAGACACAGGAAGTGCAACTCTAGTCCACAAAGCCCAAGAGCAGGCAGAGGTCATGTGTAGAGTTAGAAGTCAGGACAGTGGGTACCCTTAAAGGGCGGGGGGAGGTTGGCAGGAGCGGGAGAGTGATGCAGAGCAAAGAGACTCCCTGCGTGAAAGACATCTGGGATGAGTTCATGTTCTCTAAATTCAATGAATGAATTTTAGGAACAATGGAGGTTAGGAGCAGAATATATTTGTTGGGGGAAAGCAAGCTCCTATCCTAGAAAAGGACAAAGGGGTTGCCAAGTAACCTGCCTTTGCTAGGCATTTTTATAGAGCAAAACCACAAGATGAGACAGATCCAAGGTGGAAAACATGGGAACTCACAAGGTGGACATGGGATGGGACAAAACTGTCATTAACCAATAAGACTGCAAGCCTAATTGCACAGGAAAAGTTGATTAAATAAGGATCAAATGGAAAAGCGAGGCAGGTAGCAAGCAGGCAAGAATACAGAGCAGGGGGCTTTTCCTGTAGGGGGGTTGTGGCTTTTTTTAGCCTTTTCAAGGTGACTGACACCTATTTAGAATATCAGTCCTTGATGCCATCCCTAGGGAAGTATGTGGCTGCATTTGTTTACTGTTTTGTCTTGAGGTCTGGCCCTGAGGGAGTTGCCTCTCTCTCCATTTGCGAGGTCCCCAACACCTCCTTTGGGGGCCCAGCCCTGTCTGACTGCCTAGAATATTTCTAACTCAGCTGCCTACAAGAGGATGTTTCAGGGGTGCAGATAATGTTCTGTCTCTTGATGAATGTTGATTCCACGTGTGTGTTCATTTTGTGAAAATTCATCAACCTGTATGTACACTTAGGTACAGTTTTCTGGGTGTTTGTGATGCTTTCATCAGTCATGACATTAAACAGCAACCGAGTGTAGGTTTGTCTTTTCTCCACGCTGCCCAGGGCTCTGTCGAGCCAGCTTAGTGATCCTGCACAGATCTCTGGCACCAGCTTTCTAAAGGTTCTGCCAGGCCAGCCGAGGTCCTCTCCCACTGCTGGGACAATGGAAACCAGAGAAGTGGATGCTGCCCACGCCGGGTGCTGTTCCTGATGTCAGGTAAAGAACCTGGGTCTCTGGGACTCCAAGTCTGCCGGGGGTCGGCTGCTACAGCCAGGTTTCAGTCACCAAGGACCTCTATCCAGCCCCAGGAAGCCCATGGAACCTGGCACAGAGCCCTACTTACGGCTACTGCTCAGGGGCAGGCCACCCTGCCCCTGCCCCACACCCACACCCACACCCACACCTCGCCCCTGTCCCCCCACCCCCACCCCGGCCCCACAGTAAAATCTTCGCGATTTCTAAGAAAGTCCAGCCTGGAGAAATCCCGTGAGCACTGCCATCTGTCACTTCATCATGCAAGCCAGAAAGCTGCCTTCACAGAAATCAGAAGAAAAACACGTGTGTCACTAACAGAAGGCTTCCCTGTCATGATGCGGGTGCCTCCTGGCTTTTAGACTCAGCAGCGCCCCCATCCATGGTTTCAGTTACCCATCATTATCTGAGAGCTGAAAATATTAAATGGAAAATTCCAGAAATAGAAAAAGTCCAAGTTCTAAATGACTTTTTTTTTCTTTCTTTCTTTTTTTTCTTTTGGCGGAAGCAGGGATTGAACTCAGGCCCTTGCGCTTGCCAGGGAAGCACTTATTCCACTGAGCCATCTCCCCAGCCCCCAACTTTTCTTGCTATACTTTGCTATAATTATTCTGTTATTATTAGTTATTTTCAATCTCTCACAATGCTTAATTTATAAGTTGAACTATATCATAAGTATATACTTATAGGAGAAACAGCATATAGAGGGTTTGGTATGGGCTACAGTTCAAAGTGTCCACTAGGGGCTCTTACAATGAAGGGGCGCTACACAAACTGCGCTGGGATTCTGCTCCCGTAGTTAATCCCCCTCCAGTAAGTCCTCGTTTCTCCCGCGAGGCCAACTCTTGCCCACACCTTCCCCTTCCCAAACTGCCTAACACCTCAACTGCTCTGCTTGCCTCGGCATTGCCCTGTCCTGTTCCCACCCCATCGTCTATCCTCCCCACCAAGGCGGCATCTTCTAGGTCTAAATCTGATCATGTGACTCTCCTATTAAACGCCATTCAGTACCCAGCTTGGGTGGCACGTTAAACCCCCCTCTCAGAACCTGTAGTGACCTGGCCCCAGCTCAGCTTTTCCCCTAACTCTGACTTTCCAGGCAGCCTCACCCTCACGCAGTCAGAAAACTCCCCAGTGACATCCAATCATTAGTGTTTTGTGGACTTCAAGGATGGGAGGGTTCTGCAGAGACCTCAGCAGGGACTAAGATTGCTCCTTTGCGTTTTGCCCTAGCACTTCCTGCACTGCCAAATTAGAGACTCCTAAGAGCTGACCTGCCAATGGGCTGTGGTGTTTGATACCTTTCCATTTTTTCTATTCTGCACCCTCTGCCTGGATATGTTTTCCTATAATGGGTAAACTCCTGTTTATATCTCAGCACCTCCTCCTCCTCCATGAGTGTGTTAATCAGCTTTCCATTATTGTAACAGAACACCTGAGATAAACAACTTATAAGAAAGAAAGGTTTATTTTGGCTTAAGGTTTCAGAGGGTTCAGTTTGTGGTGGGTTCTCTTGTCTTGGGCCTGTGGTAAGGAAGCACATCAGAGAGAGAGGGCATGATGCTCATCTCATGGTGCCAGGCAACAGAGGGAGAGGGGAGGGAGCCAGAGACATGATGTGCCCTTCCAGGGATGCTGCCAATGACCTGACTTCCCTCCATTAGGCCTGTGACCATTCACTCTAATGTCAACTTCATTGGATTAAGAAGCACCTAGCAGATTCCTAACACTCTCGGTGTCTCTGGTTGGGTTGTGGAGGTGTCACCCAGCGTGCTATATCTGGTTCCTAGCCCATCACTCTCTGGCACCGTTTCTCTGCTCTGCTTCCCAGACACCATGCACTAAGCAGTTTTTTTCCATCATACCCTTCTCCCAGGAAGGTTCTACCTTGGAGCTTGCTCAACATGGACTGGACGTTCTGAGACCATGAGCCATGTGAAACCTTTCCTCCTGTAGGTTATGGGTGTCAGCGACTGCATCTCAGCAGTGGGAAGGCCGTAACCAGGATCCACCTTCTAAGTGCTCTACAGGGGCTGGTGAGATGGCTCAGTGGTCTAAAGCACCTACTTAGAACAAGCTAAGCAAAACAAAGGGACCACGGTTCAATCCCCCAGCACCACATGCCAGCCAGCACCGCCCCCTGGTGGGCTGAGCTGGCCACACACACACACACACACACCCACACACACACACACACACACACACACAAATAAATAAAATTTTAAAAAATAATAAAAAATAAGTGCTCTACAACTGCATCACAGCCTGGGGACATCTTCAACAGAGGTCCTTGGGGGATACTCATTGTTCAAACTATAACAATAGGAGAAAATGGATTTCTCCATGCTCTGAGTCACTCCACTACTTTGACCGCTAAGATTTACTGCTCTGCATTGCAACTGTCTGGCTTCAACAGTGACTGACCTATCAGGGCAGGATAAGCAGTTCTGTAAGCTCAGGAAGGGTGAGCCCAATAACTAAGCACACACCCAGCAAGGAGAAATGGCTCAGCAAATGCTTTTGGAACATGTGAAGATTATAACTACAGGCTTTCAATCCTGCAGGAGTTTTCTCTGAGAAGAGACAAAGGCTTCATTCCCTGCCAGCTCTAACAGGTCTCTTTGTCCCTTGCGGTCTGTTGGTTCTGACAGAGAGGGCACCTCTTTTTCTTTCTTGCTCTTATGGCTGAGGGTATAGGAGCTGCTCTGCGGTGGGAGACAGTGGCTACCTTATATCATCCAATAGCTTCTAACTGGTCACATTTTCTGGAAAGCTGCAAAGCCTGCTGCTAAGACCCATGTTCCCTGCTGTGGTACCTAGCACTAGACATCTCTCTAACTATTGCTAGTCCTCTTAAAAAGTGCATTAAAGAGCCAGTAAGCTAGCTCAGTGGGTTAAAGCACCTGCTTAGGCAGACACAGGGACTGGGGTTCGAACCCCAGCATGCTGTGCCGGCCCAGCCCCGGGACACGCTGAGACGATGACTGAGACAGGGTGTGGTGGGGCGCACCTATAATGCCAGCACTTGGGAGGCTGAAAACAGGAGGATCACCAGGAGCCTGATCTGTGAAGTGAGACCTTGTAGATCCTGTACTAAATACATAATAATTTTAAAAAGTGCATTTGCTGAGTATGGTGACACACACCTATAATCCCAGCACTTAGGAAGCAGAGGCAAGAGGATCGCTATGAGTTTGAGGCCAGTTTTGGATACAAAGTGAGTTCAAGGCCAGCCTGAACTGCATAGTGAGACCTGTTAGGGTTTTTTGGCAGCATGGTAAAGAGACAGGAAAGAGAAAAGAAGCCTTTATTGACTCTAAAGATGTAGGGAGAATCCCAGGGAAGATGGAGGGCTGGAGGAATCCTCTGACCTGAAACAAAGAAAGCTGAGACTTTTAGGGACTTTTGCTGGTGTGGAGTTTGAGGGACAGCTTTAGTGACACCTAAGGAGCTGACCGGGGTCTCTCCTGTGTGCACAGGAAAGGCGAAAGGACATTGTATGCAGGCCTGGGTTGGAGAAGAAGGGAGGAGGTGGTCTCAGGGAAGACAAGCTGTTGTTTTAGGGGCTTCAGCCATGTTAGATGAACACCATAATAATTCAGCAGTTCATACTAGGGCCAGAAACTACCAAAACCCTGTCTCAAAAAGGCAAATAAGGGCTGGGGAGATGGCTCAGTGGAATAAGCGCTTCCCTGGCAAGCGCAAGGGCCTGAGTTCAATCCCCAGTTCCACAAAACAAACAAACAAACAAAGGCTGGGGATATAGCTCAGCACCAAAAAGGCAAATAAAATTAAATTAAAATAAAATTTAAAAAATTAAAAGTGCATTGTCCACTAAGCACGGCAGTACACACATGTAATCACAGCACTCAGGAAGTAGAGGCAGAAGGATGGCAAGTACGAGGCTGGACACATACTAAGTGTGAGGCCTGCCTGTATAACATAACTCTTCAAGGGGCCGTATTCAGAGTTCGACAGCCTAAGCTTTCTGTTGTGTCTCCAGGACAGGTTGTCCCCAGTTCTGGAAATACGAGCTGGTGCCTGCACCGGCTGCCTGTCCTCACTGCAGGGGTACTCAGAGCAGCTGAAGGACATGGTGACCTTTGTCTTGGACTGCAGCTTCTCTCTGGAAGAGGCCTTGGAGAAGGGCGGGCTCTCTGGAAGAAACCCAGCAGGTCACAGTCATGCAGCAGCATACAAGGTAGAAACGCAACCCGCCAACCAGGGCCGAACGGCCTGAAAATGTGGATCAACTTGCATTTTCATGTAGGGGACAGCCCTGGCACAATAGCCCTAGCTCAGCCATTTGTTCGCTGTGCAGCCCAGGCAAAGCTGTCACCCTCTAAGTCAAACTTTCGCTACCCGCCCCTGATACCACTGTGGTATCCCCATCACCAGCTGTGACCCCAGATGGTGGCACTTCTTGGCAATTTATTGCAGAAACATCAACTAAATGCACTTGGAATTTGGCTCTTTTAATTTAGGACAGTTCGGAGGGACTTTGGAACAATCCTCCTTAGTTTGGGTGCACGTAGCCTCAGGGAGACTGAAGCTGGCTCTGTTAATGCCTAGGGATTCGCGGCGGAGCCTCAGCCCAACTGCTAGCTGATGTGCTATTGCTGTCCAGAAAGCTGGGTTGTGTTCTTGGCTGGAGGCGGCTGTTGGTGGTCACAAAGGCGGCATGGTGGCCTCTCCCAGCATATGCTGGCCCTTGGTGCTGCCTTGCCACTGAGCCTCTGAGCTGTGTCCAGCCGTCACCTGACAAGGGGCAAGAACTAGTGTCCCCTACTCCACTGGCCCCGTCCTGCCTGCTTTTTGGAAGAGCCTAGGAATTCACTCTGTCAGATCAATGGCAGCAAACAGTCAGGCTCCAGACATCATTATTTGTGGGGGACTCAGATCGAGATTACATGCTGAGCTCCAGGGCACTTATTAAGTCCTGGTTTGGGCTCCTGCCAGAGAAGGCTGAGTTGCCTGTGATCAGAAACAAGGCCGCCCACAGTCTGCTGCTGCTTTCATAAGGAACCGGGTGCCCGAAGGGTTTTCTTCAAACTTGGGAGGAGCAAGGCGGAGCCACAGCCACTGGCTGGCATCCAGAGCGGGGCAGCCCAAGACCCCCACCCCCACCCCGCATCACAGGTAGCAAGGACAAGGAGGAGGGTGTCCTGGCTCACCACAAAGCTGCTCATTTGAAATGAGGAAACTGAGCCTTAGAAAGACACTGGACCCCAGAATGCCTGTCTCCAAGAGGCAGTGCCCACTGGGGAAGGTTGCTTCTTCATAGCACCTTGCCCACTGCCCTACACTGACCAAATAGCCGTCAGTCTCGTAGCACTGACCTCTGCCCCACGGCTCCTGGGGGTGGGGGATGGCTAGGCAGCCCTCTTGGATTCCAGGATGAACTTCCCCACACAGAGGTCCTCAACCTTGGGAGCGCCGTCTAGCTCAGAGTGGCCCTGTCCTGTGTCCTCTCCCCCTCCCGGTGTTGCTGCGCAGGCACCAGCCTGGACGGCACACCCAGGTTCCATCCTGCTGCCACCAGGATGGCAACAGCAAGCCCTTTAAGAGCAACCCAGACTGCCCCGGTGGATTACGGCGCAGGGCACACCCTAGATCCTTCATTAGCCCCAGTGCAGGCACCAGAAACCTTTACAGTAGGGGAAAAAGCACACCAGTCAGAGTCACTCACGTCATCCAGGGCAACTTCTCTTGAGGCAGGATCACAACAGAACGGTGGCTGGGAGCAGGCTTGTGTCCCCTGTGCGGGTACTGAAGGGAGAACAGACTCTGTCTCTTCCTAGGAGGTTCCGCTCTTTGGGTCTCTCTGCCTATGACTGCCCCAGTCCCTTTAGATCCTTGGAGAAAATTCGGAGAGTCCACGAAACTGGGTAGGGATTTATTTTTTAAATTTTACTGTTTCCTAAAATTTAGTTTGTCTTCCCACTCTGAATGGCAGCAGACCCTGTAATTTTGTGGTTGTCCAAAGAAATCATAGACGTCTATACATCGTGTTACAGCTTTTCCTGATATCACAAAAAATATCCTATACATCGATCGTCAGCATCACTGCCGTCTCAGGATAATAGGTCTGTGGGTTTTGTTCCTTAAGCTGTGGAAGAAAAATGCATGCACATCGCTCTATCCCGCCTTCCCAGAATCTGACAACTGTTTTTACAACATAATTGAATCCCTCAGGAATCTTATGATTTTTCTTTTATGTGATTAACAACACTGCTATGAACAGGCATCTATCCACAGCTACACCCGGCTAACAAAAGGGTCGTGGCCCATGAAAAGTTAAGATTCCCAGTTGTAAGCCGTAATTGCCAGCAAACTTCCCCACCTCTATGTCACCTAAAAGTAGAAGGTATATTTTTATAACAGCTACTGAGACCTCCTCCTTCATGCAGCTGCCTTGAACTCCGAGTGCTCCCGGCTTAGATCCGGGCTCATTTCAATTTTTAACATTTTTTGTTTGCTTTGTCAGACAACCGTTCCTTGTGCCGCCGCGGCTGCTGGTTCCTGCTGCCCCCTGGTGGTCACAATGAGGCCCTTTCCCGAGGACGAACTGGAAAGGCTGTTGCAGGTCGTTTGTTCCATGGCTGGTGAGCAAGGACAGGCCATCCACATCGGCCACCCAGATCAGTGTCCTCCCTCCTTTAGGATTCCAACAGTGTTTCTTTTTTTTTTCATAATTTTATTGATAAACAAATAGCAATGAGACAGTTTCAAATCAAATCGCTAGGACAGTTTCAATAACTAACACACTGTATACACTCTTCTTAGTGGTTAATTGCTGTGCAAGATGCGGACTTGAGATCCTATTTACAAACACCATTAGAACATATCATTCTATTCCCAACAGTGTTTCTTGACCTAAGACGTGGCCAGGAATTTACTCTGTTCCCTGAAGCTCCTGCCTGTGACCCCCCAGCCCCTTTAGATCCTTGAAGATGGGGCCCGTGGGTACAGAACAGTGGCTACAGATGCCACGGATATAAAGGACCCACTGACAATCTCTGATAAGCACAAAGCTCGTGTGAACTTCAACCAATCCTGGGTGGAGGAACAGTGTGCGGCAGCAAGACTCTGTTGCAGGAAGAAAGCCCAAAGTGACCTCTACTCTGGTCTGCTTTCCAGTGGTTTGTGTGAGCGGGAGGTTTTGCTCAAAATTTTCATTCAAACTGAAAACCACTGATCCCTACAACATTAACTCAATCCAAGAGCGACTAAACCCATACAAGGGGAAGGGGTGAGGCTCTCAAAGGGGCCCAGGCTGAGGAGAGTTTAGGATTGGCTCTGGGTGAGAGCCAGAGCCCTGTCCTCTGTACCTGAACCTGACTGGCTGTGTTAAAAAAAGGCCCTTGTGTTCCACAAAAAGATGATCTTCACTTGCTCTCTTCCTTGTACAGAGACCTCAGGGCCACGCGGAGAAGGGTTTCTGATTAATAATTTCTCTTTGGTGGGGATAGACCTGCCCCAACACAGCCACCTTCTCTGCCCTCTTCAGCACTTGGAGGGTGGCCAGGCTTAGGGGTGCTGTTAGTGATAAGCAACAGAGGTCTGGGTGATGCGACTCAGCCAGTATCAAGACAAACTCCCAACTGCTGGCTTTGTTAGCAATCTGTGTGATGAAAGAGTCGGGCTACACCTACCCCAGGCTCTTTCCAGTTCTATCACCCAGCCTTGAAATCCCAGGTTCCAGAACCATCCTGGGAAACAGACCAGGAGTTACGGAGCGTGTCAGGTTATAGCCTCATGTCCTGCCCTCTATCTCCTTCTTCTTTACAGATGGTGCTGGCCAGGGAGTTATATTTCCTTTCTCTACTTGCAGAACTGTTGGGAATCAACGAGCTTTCCAAATGTGACTACGGGGACTACGTGGCATGTCAGCCAGGGGACATCCCAGTGTTCTGGCCTTCCCAGCTGACGAGTCTCGAAGCCATCGGCAGCTGCAGTACGTTGGGGCCCATAGGGACCCCTATGCTGGCCTAGGAGAGAGCTGGACAGCCTCAGATTCTTACAGGACACTGATTTAAAAACTAAAACCAGAGAACAAGACACAAACGTGGGTCTAGAGCCTTCTGTGAGTGGCTTTCTAGTTTCTTTTAATTCCAGGGCTGAGTCTTCTCACCACAGCAGCTTGTCTGAAAGTTCAATTTGGTTTGATTTAATATGCTTCTATTTCCTAGAGAATCACAAACCATTGTAACGGAGGAAGCAACCTTTAGCTTGACTTTCTGAGACATCTCAGAGGTTGGTAGGGCCTTGAAAACAACATGCATAGTCAAGAAACACAACTAGCCAAACCATCTCATGTAACACAGTATCCATAGGGGACAAGTTCCTGTACCCCCTTGGGATACATGAGTTTATCGTCTCTTATATGAAGTAGTAATATTGGCGTATAACTTATGTTCATTCCCTTGTATATTTTAAATAATCTCTAAATTATTTATACCAATTACAATCTAAAGTTGTGTAAATAGCAATCATAATGTATTGTTTAGAGGATAAGAAAAAGTGTACATGTCAACAGAGATTTAATTTTTCAAATATTCATGATTCATAATTTGATGGATACAGAGGCATTTACAGCATGATGCAAAGCAATACATTAGTACCTTTTTTTCTTCTTTGCAAAGGACTACAAGGATAATCTCCCTGACTCACAAGAAGATAGGTATGTGTTAGAAACATTACAAGTAGTAACACGTCCAGCTGTCATAGAGGCTGGAAAATTCTGACAGTTCAACCACACCTGCATTGGAAATAATAGAATTTAGCATTACAGTGGTTTAGTCTATCTTGAAGGAAGTCACGAGAGTTTAGCTATCAGAATATCCTCACAATAGGGAAAGAGTCTCTACTAATCTCAGTGAAGTATGCCATATCTATACGAGGGGCCGGGGAGATAGCTGGGGCTGGGGAGATAGCTCAGTGGAATAAGTGCTTGCCTGGCAAGCACAAGGTCCTGAGTTCGATCCCTGGTAACACACACACACACACACACACACACACACACACACACACACACACAAAGATCGACAGGATTCTGCGTGTTCATCTATACAATGTGCATATTTTGAGCACCTACTGTGTGCCGGCCATGAGCCTAGATCCTAGGACTTCAGAGCTGCATAGATAAGATGGAGCCTTCAGGGAGCATGCAGCCTCCCCTGAGTGTGCATGCATGCACCCACATGCACGCTGAAAGTGCCCTTCCGTCAGCCACAGGGGATGGCCTGAAAAACAGCTCTCACTGGTGTTGCCATCCCATCACCCCCCAGCCCCTTAGTGATGACAGTGATAGCATATTTGATCTTCTGTGA